TTCTTGTTCCCATTATTGTTCCCATTATTCCCCCAGTATTTCCCCGTTCTCACTCCCATTATTCAAGTTACTGTTCCCGTTCTCACTCCCATTATTGTTCCCATTTTTGTTCCCGTTATTGTTTCCATTATTTCCCTGTTATTCCCCTGTTATTCCCTTGTTCTCTCTCCCGTTATTCCCATTATTGTTCCCGTTTTCAATCCTGTTATTGTTCCTGTTATTCTCACGGTATTTTCCTGTTCTCACTCCCTTTTTTTCCATTATTTCCTTGCTATTCCCCATTCTCATTCCCGTTATTTCCTGGTTATTTCCCCATTCTCATCCTTGTTATTCCCATTATTGTTCCCATTATTTCCCTGTTATTCCCCCATTCTCACTCCTGGTATCCTGTCCTCATTCCCGTTATTTCCCTGTTCTCACTCCCATTATTTCCTCATTATTCCCTCGTTTTTCCTGTTCTTACTCTCCTTATTCCCCCGTTATTTCCTCGTTTTTACTCCTGGTATTCCTGTTATTGCTCCCTTTATTCCCACATTATTTCTCTGTTATTTCCCCATTCTCATTCCCGTTATTTCCCCGTTATTTCCCCGTTATTCCTCCACTACTCCCCCATTATTCCCCCATTCTCACTCCCATTATTTCCCCGTTATTCCCCTGTTCTCACCCCCGTTATTTCCCCATTATTTCCCTGTTATTCCCTCCATTATTCCCCTGTTATTCCCCCGTTCTCACTCCTGTTATTGTTCCTGTTATTCCCACGGTATTTCCCCATTCTCACTCCCGTTATTCCCCGTTCTCATTCCCGTTATTCCTTCATTCTCATTCCTGTTATTCCCCTATTATTCCCCCATTCTCACTCCCATTGCTTCCCCATTATTTTCCCATTATTTCCCAGTTCTCACTCCCGTTATTCCCGTTACTGTTCCCATTATTCCCCCGTTCTCACTCCTTTCATTTCATTATTGTTCCTGTTATTCCCCCGTACTCACTCCCGTTATTCCCGTTATTTCCCTGTTCTCACTCCTGTTATTGCCCCATTATTCCCTCCATTATTCCCCTGTCATTCCCCCGTTCTCAATCCCGTTATTTCCCCGTTATTTTCTCTTTATTCTCTCCATTATTCCCCTGTTACTCCCCCGTTCTCAGTCCTGTTATTCCCCCGTTTTCATTCCCATTATTGTTCCTGTTATTCCTCCATTCTCACTTCCATTATTCCTGTTACTGTTCGCACAAGATTCCCCTAAATCCAGGATAAATCCCATTTTTTCCTGCTTTTTCCCAATATTTTACCCCTTCCCGGGGCAGGGAAATGGGATTTTCC